CTTGGTCTTCTGACAAGAGGTGAACTTGGAGGCGTTTTGGCACCAAAACCGTTCGGCTTATCTCCAGACTCTATCTTTCTCGACCGCAGACTTCGACCTTCTTCCGAGACCAGCATTGAAGCAGAAGGAGAGCTGACAGGCTGAGGATTCTCCTCACCCTTCCTCGGTCGTCCTCGAGATCGTTTGGTTGGAGATTCCGTGGCAGGTTTTGGGGTACTGAGAATACCACGAAGTCTTCTACCAGGGGATTCTGCAAGTTCCTGAGCCAGGATCCTGTCGCTCTCGACTTGAGCGTCCAGCTTCCGAGACATGCCGTGATCATTAGAAAAGCCTGGCAGCTCATCATCCGTGGCGTTTCCATCGGCATCACCGCGCCCAATTAAGGATGAACCATTCCCATTGGTCCCATTTGGCAGTTTGTTTCGGCCATTCAGGGTCGCTGTCGTTGTGAGAGCACTGATAGCAGCCTGCAATGCTTCTGTCTTCTGTGTCCGCGATAGCAGGAATGGACTCCACTTCAGCTTCTCTGGTTTCAGCGTCAAGTATCCCTTGCTCTTCCAATTCGAGAGATAAGCCTCCACTTCGCTCTGATCCCAGGTAATCTCGTAATTTGTTGGAGGCACATATTCTTCATTGACTTTGGTAGAAGCCTGAAGATGTCGTCGAACTTCAACTCGACGCCTATCTCCTTTACGAGCCTTTGGGACACCTTTGACAGAACGAATCGACTGGCCTGGTGAAGGCTTGACAGACGACGCCTTGTCGTGGATCTTGATCATGTTTTTGGCGACCAGTGTAGAATGGACGTCTTCGATGGTCATCGAGGTGCTTGCGCAAATATCTTGAATAGAAAGTGAGATTATGTTTCTGTACACAAGATCTCTGCTCACCTTCAAGTCGAGGCGACGGTGGAGCTTCCAGGAGATAGCGCATCACAGCCAATGTCCAGTAGTTTTTATACCCAAGCGCCCCAAGCCCGGAAAGCGGCTTCTCAGGTGACCCAAGTCGCTGTTCCTTCTTCGATAGCAGGTAGCCTGTCGCCTGGTTAGTGATATCCTGGAGAAAAGAATAAATAATACGAACTGAAATCGATGAGCAAGTTTCCCCATCCCTGTCGCTGTCGCACTGGTAGCGTCATGATACAACTAACATTGTAATCCTTCGGACTTCTCTTCTCCTTGCTGAAATAACCGACAAAGCGGGCGCCTCCACTGTCAACCTCAGTCATGACATAGAATAAAAATGGTTCGACGTCGTAAAATAGAGATTTGTGGTCGAGGAACATCTTGGAAAGGAGGCAAAGATTCTGGCAATAGATCTATATCGTTCGTTAGTCGACCGGATAAACTGTTCGGCGATCCAAACGAACCTTGTTCTTCCGGCCATCAACCTCGTAAATGGACACCGACATGTCTCTATAAATCTCATCTCCAGGTGGACATCGGCACTTGCATTTCATCTTCCAGTCACCATCAGCGTTGAAAAAATTGCAAGAAGAAAAAACAGGACTCACGCGATGGCGATCAGCTCCGTATAAGCTCTTCATATACTTTAAGCAAAACTCGCAAATGTACATCCGACCATCTGGTATGTTCGCATATTCTTCCGGAAAAGGCGCGTCGTACCAAGTTTTGATGTCAAACGGGCCAAACCGGATATTTCTGATTCGGAGGATAGGCGGCGCCCCAGCGACCACAGGGATTGCACTGGGTGTCGAAGGTGCAGGAGATTGAGACATGGCGTCAGTAATCTGATAAACCGAAGTCGTAGTAGATCTCAAGGGACGAGATGACGGTCCCGCCTCAGGCGGTTCAGAGCCTTGGTCTGTCCTCTCTTTCGCATCTTTCGCAGCTTCCTTCGCGCGCTTGGCCTATGGAAACTTGAGAACATGATCCAATATAAATGATTGAAGCGCACCTCAGCCAACTGCCTGGTTCTTTCAAATCGCAGCTTATCTTGCTGCAATATGCTTGTCTTTGAAATATCCCTCTGTTCTTTGTCAAGAAAACCCTCAAATATATCCTTTGGTCCTTCTTCTTCCTCTCGCTCTTTGCCTTTGCGGGCTCGAATACGTATGCGGGGTCTGAGCTCGAGGTCAGGTGAAGGAGAAGGAAGCTTAGGCTGCGGTGCTGGTTTGATGCGCTTTTTCTTTGGTGATTTCTCGGCCCTGGGGACTTTGGGAGCTGCATGTTCGTTTTGGGGTAACCTTGGCCTGCCACGACCGCGCTTCTTGGGCACATTGACAGCGCCAGCATCGACAGCAATGTCCTCTTCGCCGGAGGAGCTGGAAGATGAGCTGGAGCTGGAGCTCTCGGGAAATAGTACTGTAGCTGTGACTTTTGGTGTGGATTTGCCGTTTGATTTGATTTTTTTCGGCGAGCTTTGCGACAGGGTTAGGGCATCAAAAGTCTCGGGTTCATTTCCCACAATTTCGTTCTGGTCTTCAGAACACAATGAACAAAACCAGTCACCGGCAGGTTCGGTTTCTATCGCTGGTTCCAAACAGTACATGTGATACCCTGAGCATTGAAAAATTAGCGAAACGGACAGTGGAGGATATTCAGACAACCGACCTCTGTCGCAATGATCACAAATGAGAATTCGATCCTGTAGCTACGTCAGAATTCGAGGAGCCTAGAAATGCAACGTGTACTCACCTCATCTATCTTCTGGCTACAAACCTCACAGCTCTTGCATTCTGAACATTTCCATTCGTATTGTAGAATTGCACCTTCGCCAGGTACTTTGAGACAACTCGGATGACCTAGAGTTGAATAAGAAGGGAAACTAGAACCAGTTGAAAAATGACTGACCGCGATTACCACATTCATGACAAGTCACCACAACTTCTGGCTGCTGCTGGTCATTGCTCTGTTCGTCTCCTCCACAAACAGAGCATCCTCCTTGGCGACCGTGCTGTGGCTGCTTTCGTTTCTTCTTTGCAGGTTTCCGAACCGGCTCGGGTTCTGGGACGACAGCATATGGCGGGGGTTCGGGAAGCTCAGCTATTATATCGCCTTGTGGACCTTGTGAGTAATATTGTTGCCTGTAGAACTGATGCTGAGCAGCCTCTGGTTCACTTTGCGCTCGGACCTTTGAAAAGAACCAAAAAGGGTCAATTGGTGATTTCAGGCGAAACACGACGTGACACTAACAAGTTGCTCTTCGTTTGAAGGCTCTGGGACTGGTTCAGCCAGCGCTGGATCGATAGGAATATAGTTCATCGGTTGATGCGGGCTTGGATATCCATAAGAAGATTCATGGCTGGAGGAAGGGGTGAATGGGGGATCATGCATTCTTTGGAAGGACTAGCTCAGGCCTTTACGGGTGCCTAGTGACGCCAGAGCTAGGGATCGTTGATTTCGACCGGAGAGAGGAAGGTTCGGTGTTTGGCTTTGTTTGATTCATTATTCATAGTCACCCTCTTTTGCACTTTGACCTGAACTTGCAGCAACATTAGCGCCGAACCGCTGGTCGAATTTTTCACAAGCTTGTTCGAATACCCGAAATCTCTCCTTTCAGCTCCTTTCCAACACAATGAAAAATCCTTTGACATTGACAGAAGTTCTCTGCTCTTCATATAAATTCTGGGCTTGGCTCGAGTTGTTCATCACAACAAATCCTCTCGTTCGCCCTTGTTGCGTTGGGACCTCTTGCTTTGTGCACCCGTTCCTTCCATTATCCTTCCCCCGGCAGGCTTCAACGTGCAAGTCCGACCTTTTGTCTCGAGCGCCCTTTGGCCTCCTTGATAGCACCTCGTTGATCTTCAATTGTGATCCTGGCACCAGTCTGTGGGTCATCGACAGTAAGTGCTTTTGAACCTCACCAGAATCCAATTTCATCCTCCAGATGAAAAATCTACTCTGACCATGAGCGCCAGTGCCGAGCCAAATATCTAGCTGCGCAGGACCCGAAACGATGCAGCGCCAGTGTCGATCTCCAGTCAGTGTTCTTCATCTCCTTCTACATTTTCCAGCTCTGTTGCAGAATCCCCCTAGGATTCAGCTTCCAGATCGCCGATTTCAGCTACGTGAGTTGAATTGGTCCGGTTTTCTCGTCATAATGATCAGGAAATGTAGCGCGCTTATTTTCAAATCGACCCAGATGTTAGCGACATCCTGGGTACCACTTATTCTTGTGGGTTGCTCAGTTTCCTTCTTACGTGGTTGCTGACGTCTACAGTCTCGGGACAAACTTCAGGCAAGAAAAAACCATCTGGCATGGTTTCATGCTCAGCCTCAGTACTCAGCGGATACCTCAACGACTTTAGCTGGCCCAGTTGATGGTATTTATGTTCCATTGCTTCTCTACAGGCTTTTACATGGTTTACAGGCTCGAGCTATACCACCGACAACCTTCCTTTGTCGAATTTCCCTGCCAGTCAATGTGAACAAGACATAGTATCTTCGCCTCTTTCTCTGATCTTCTATTCAAAAAATGACAGACCCTAACCATCAACACTTTGCTTCACGTGAATAATTCTGCGAACCAAGCGGGATTTGGACACATCGGGGTGCGTCAGCTGTTCTTTCACTTGCTCTTCTTATAAAATGATTCATCCAGAACTTCGCTGCTAACGTGGAGCAGGTATGGCGTCTGGTATTGAGGGAAACGGTACCAAATTACCCATTAGATTTTCGGTTTGACTTGGTTTAGCTGCTGAAGGGGCTCTATTACTTTTCCTTGGCCTGTAAGACCTGTATATGAATATACTATCACTGTTATCACAACAGCTGCATAACCTTGCAACAAGTTGTATCAAGTAAAGTCGTATGATTTTTGTTTCGCATTCTCAGGCTTGGAGGGGCTTTGGCTTTAAGATATTCAATAAAGGTCAATGAAGATGTGTTCAATCGAAGCGTGTCATTAAAGTGTTAATTATAATCAGTGATATGCTTGGATGTGATCGGATGACTTCCGGTGATCGGGATATCTGTGGCGCAGCAAAATAATCAATTGCTATGGCGTCCGTAGCAACAAAACGGTTAACAAAAGCCTAATGACCACCGCAGGGGTCGAACCTGCAATCTCCTGATCACCGCAAGCAGTCAACTCCAGTCGTAGTCAGACGCGATGCCATTTCGCCAGGCGGCCATATCGAGAAGTTTTACCGAAGCCCCAGGTTAGCCTGGACCGGCAGCAAGTCGACCTTCACTAATGTCAATTGTGAACGAGCTTTTCAAATTACTCTAGTTGCGCCATCGAAAGGGTCCAAAAGCCTTTCTGGGCGCCGAAATTAGTTTGGTCACAGGTCAGATTACTAGCCACTTGGATTGAACGAAAAGTAACCCAGCTGCCATAATTTGTCCAATTTCTCAGGTAACATCCAGCAATACGCGTCGGAGCCTCGTCAGACATTATTTTGCCCGGGCTCTAGACTAGGGACTATACTCGAATAAAGATAGACATGGTTGAAATAATTGAAAGCATCGCAATACTAGACAGACAAACTCAAGCTCCGACCTCGGCATTGTCCAAGGTCCAAGTAGCAACCTGACGCGGGCATCAGTCTGATTATTCAATGATATCAAAGCCTATATCAGATGTTTTGAGCAGGAGAAAAAGTAACTTGATACCATGGGTCAACGAAAATGAAACATGGCAAAGACGAGTTCGACATGACTGCAGAATTATGACGTCGCCGATAAGGCTTTGCAGCCGTGAACCTTATTACTGACCAGGATGGTAAACTAGACGACCTGATGAACAAGTAAGTAATGCGACATTCACGATCATCGGTTGCTTACTGGACTGCTGTAGTGGCCCATACGCTTCTGACACCAAACTCAAATCGACAGGTCAGGTCCTGGGTGATTCTCCTTTCAGCGGTCAGACCTTCGAAGAATGGCAAGAGCTCTTGAGGACCAAGACCATAGCGCATTGATTCGTGAACATGGCTTTCCTTGGTCTTCTTGAAAAGGGCGCTTTAGCAAGAGCCCTCTTGTGAGCTGTCTTTGAATTGTGGGCGTAAGGGCGAGCAAAGCCAGTTTAGAGCATGTTTCCAAAACCATGGCGACGGAATTTGCACGACGAAGAACTCCGGTCCGAGTCAATGCCATAGCGCTTGAGGCATTTCTCTCAGGTGGCGGAAACAGAAGAGTGGGTCGCGATGTAAGAATCCGCCCTCGCCTAGAATCATTTCTGCAAGAGGTCGCCCTGGATAGTAATTAGTCACTGGTTCAACAACAAGCAAGTTGAAGCTAACCAAGGCAAAGACGAATGATTTCACTGCTTCTCGGGACGGGGGTTCCTCGAACGGCACTTTCTCTCATTGCCATTGACGAGGAAATATCCTCGGTCAATCCGTAAACGCCAAGGTTGAGAATGAAGGAGTGATATAGCTTGTGTGATGACAGAATCGTGCTACGGACTAGAACTGGAGATGAGTTGAGCTCAAGGAACCCGTTAAACGAGAAACACACCTTGTTTACTTGATTCCCAATTCCACCAATGCCTCTCTCCCTCTTCCACGCCATGTATCGGTTACTTCTGAATGCGAAAACCAGGGATCCCGTCCCTCGCGTCGAGTGGATAAAGTGAGCCCGCCTCCACGAAGCCACGACGTCACATTCGACTCCACCTTTAGGCCCTCCAGAATCCCAATGACGACGAGAAGCGTATTGTCGTCTCGTGCATTTTGGAGGGTTTTGTCGTATTCGGGGATGCAAATGTGGCTGTAAGGTTGCAATTGAGCTTTGAGAACAGAATCGTCGAGTAGGATAGTGGTATTGGTTGAGTGTCCTGGAAACGCGTTCCATACGCGATCAAGGTCCTTTATAGTCTGTGTTTTATTGCCTGAAATGAGGTAAGAGAAGGAACAAAAGGCCGGAGAAAGACTTGCGGTACTGGTGCGCCGTCAAGTCAAAATTATCTCGCGACCAAACCGCCCTGAAAGATACCTCATTTCTCGTTTCGACAAATGCTTTGTCGAGCATTGACACGACATTCTGAGGTCGGGCTGAGCTCCAGACCATAGAATCGAGCCAAGCGGCGGTTGAAGGATGTGCAAGATATCGGAAAAAGTAGCTGAGATAAGGTCGAGGATGGGTTACACGGTTTGGAGCTTTAGTGCGATACACGAGGGTACCGTTCAGGTCTAGGACGAGTAACTTTCTGCTGTCTGTTGGCTTTGCCAGGGTTTGTGACGGAATCAGTGAAGCAGCGATGTATTCTGCTTTTGGTAAGCTCGGGACCTTTGGGGGAACTGCACGAGCATAACGAGCCAACATTGCTGGATTGGCGAGGGACATAGCGTCGGAGAATAAGGCCGAGGCTCGCTCACGTGGTCCAAGTCCTTTCGTTCTTTTCTTTTCGTTTTCGCAAAATTCGGTATCGCTTGTCTCGCCCAATCCGAAGCCTATGGCACCACAAATAGTCGAAGACGTCAGACACCATCACTGGGGAGATTTCGTGTTTCTCTGCATCATTATAATCCTGGGTGCCAGTTTATTGCTCTGCGGCTGCAGATCATGTTGGGGCGACTCGGTATGTACGATATACAGATCTATGCAAGTCCACCGCTGATATCTATGTAGCGGAGTTTGGCATACGAGGAGACGCGAGATGACCTTCGTCGACTGCGAGCTACTCGTCTTGAATTGCAAACTCGAATTCCGAGTACACCACCACCACCTCCTCCATATTCTTTGCCTTCACCTCAGACAGTCGAAACCGTCCAAGTTGATCCATGTTCAGTAGCATTATCACTGCCAATGTCGTCCCCAAAGGTCCATGTCTCAACTGGGTCTCAGACCTCGCCTGCTCCTGCTCTTCAAACCAATGAATCTACAGGACCTTCTCCTCATCTTGCTACCGACAGCCGTAGACGATCAATATGACGCTTGCCTTTGCCTTCACATCTTATTCCTTCGACGTTCAGATTCGTATCTCGCACTTTCATCCGTCCAGCCTATCTTCAGCGCGATACTCATCGTAACTTCACATCATTATTTCCAATCCAATACCTCTGAGCACAGAATAAATAAATACATTGCCTGACGGAAACTATTACCCTTGAATAATGTCCTCGATTCCAACAGAGCCCCGAAAAGTCAAGGGTCCCAGTCCATTGGCCCTCCGTTTAACAATATATACCTTGCTCTGTATCTTCATCTTCACGATGGCACCCGTCAAGTCTCGCTGGGGATTATAAACAGCCGACAAAGTCCAAGTTCGTAAAGCGTCGAGACCTTGGCTACCTATGCCAACCTGAATGTGGATCATGGATACGGAAGCTTGAAAAATGAGCCAGGCAAGTGTTCGGATGCAGGCAGCAGCATCTTCGAATGGCTCATTCGGAAATTCCATGAATACTGGAGACAATGCTGGCGTCCAGGTTATGAATCCCGGTCGCTTGTCATATAATTTCAATATCCGAAGGTTCAAAAAGTCTTTTGAGATCAAAGCCGCGAGGACTTCCTAGAATGAAGTTGAAAGAGTAAAAGTAGCGATAGTTATATGGGGCTCACAATGCGTATCGGGGAATCGGGAATTGGAAGCTTGACAAACAGTGACACGACGTTGGGGAATACTCTGCCCGCCAAAGAGAGCATTTCGATAGCAGAAGAGGCGAATATGAACTCGAGCTCTGTCACTTTCCACCCGTCAAATTTGGTCCTGGAGCTGAATTCCAGTGGGGACAGTGATAGATTGAAATGGCCTATGGAGTGACGTAAGCCTTGGCGTTCGACAGTATCTAGGAAGGACGATATATGCTGTTTACTAAAATTGGCTTCTTCCCAGAAGGAATGACAGTCGATGGTGATTTTCGTCAAGTTTGAGTGATGTGCCACAAAAGCATGAAGCAAATCGACGCTGACTTGGGTGCTGTCAGTTATGCTGAGTGCTCGAAGTTCGCGTATGATCATACTCTCCAGGCGGAAACATACGGCATTAGCAGCAAGGTGCAAGTGCTCGACTCGTACATTATGCTGCTCAACACTCGACAGGGCGCTACTGTCATGGGTGCTATAATGAATTAGAACTTTATCGAGGGGAACGGTTTGGGGAATTGGCTCGGGAATTGCCTGAATATAAGGCAAGGCCAAGGTTTTCAGGGTAGGATGGTCGTTGATAGCGGTAATCAAGGAAATGGTGATTGTTTGGTGAAGTTCTATCCACAACAGCGAATCTAAACGTGGAAGAAGTCGCACAAGCAGACTGTCTAGTGTAGACGCCTGCTCTGAGGTCGTGAAAGCTACGTCGAGGGTCCTGTTCAATCAGCAAACATTCTTTTTGAGCCCGGAATGCAGCTAACCTAATGAACCCAGTGAAGCCTGATTTATTTATACATTCATGCTCGAGTTGGGCTAGCTCTTCCAGGGTTGTGCATCTGATATACGAGAAGAGAGAAGGTAAAGAGATCCGTCGAAACTGCCGGTTCGTTAATGAAAGCGCACAAAGGGCTTTAGACGCAGTGTGATGAAGCGAGTCGGGATATGATTTATATTCGTCGTCAACTAGAAGGGGAACAATCTCCTGAATGAGCTCCTCAGGCAAATCGTGAATGAGCATGATGGTTGAGAGATATCTGGTCGACACGTGGGCCAAGGTCGATGGCAGATGTCTGATTTCGGCATAGAGCTTCGTTTCGCATGATTCTTGGTCTGACCGGGACCCGGAGGAAAGATGGGTTAAAGGCGAATCTTAGTTGACTTGTCAGTCAAATTGAACAAGGAATAACAAATAGCACCCACCCACACCAAGTTCCTTCAGCTCCTAAAGGTGGAACCGTCCTACCACTGGTTCAAGCATAAATCGGCTGACCGTGAGGCTCGAGCCTCATCAGTAATGATGCTGGGAATCCACTGCTGGATGTGATTTTGTATATCAAGGAACAACGTTGATTCCCAAAGACCTTGCACTTCCTACTACCATTCTGGCAACAGCTTCCAGCTCAAGGTGCCTCATATGCTCGTCCGCCGCCTTAATCTTCGCAATCTCATATATATGCTTCATGCTCAACGTTCCTGTAACCTGATGTCCAGGCTTCGCTGCTCCCTTTTCCAGTCCCAACGCCTGTTTCAAGAAATAAGAAGTCGGGGGTGATTTTGTGAGGAACGTGAAGGTGCGGTCGGGTCGAATTGTTATCAGAG